TACATTTATTTATATGGAACTGTAAATAGAGTTCGATTTTGCAAAGAACACAACATAGAAATTAGATACTTAGCATTTATTTAGTATAATCACTGAGAATGTCAGTGCTAGCTAACAGTATAACTTATTCTTGACTGTATGTGTGTTTTATTTTATCTGAAGTATGTTTCCCTCTTTTCGGAGAAGTCATCAGTTTGAAAAGGTCCATATCACTTTCTTTTCTTTAAAAGTGGCTGGGCACAGTGGCTCACACCTGTAATCCCAACACTTTGGGAGGCTGAGGTGGGAGGATTGCTTGAGCCAAGAAGTTCCAGACCAGCCTGGGTAACATAGGGAGATCCCATCTCTACAAAAAAAAAATATTTTAATTAGCTGGGTATAGTGACATGCACCTGTGGTTCTAGCTACTCTGGAGGCGGAGGTGGGAGGATCACTTGAGCCCCCAGAGGTTGAGGCTGCAGTGAGCCGTGATCACGCCACTGCACTCCAGCTTGGATGACAGAGTAAGACTGTCTTAAAAAATAAAATGAAATAAAAGTGGCTTTTTATCAAACAAAAGAGCAGTTTATCTTAGTGGTTCTCAGCCTTTTCTCCTTAATCCTGCCTATCAGGGGCAGAGCCTTACTCCCATCCCTGGCAGTGGCTCACTTCTACAAGAATTCTCAGCTGGGGTAGAAAGGTAACATCTTAGTAGAATCAGTGCAGTTGGAGAGCAGGAGACATGTATGTAGTCTTCAAAACTCATTCTGTCTCTTAAAACATTCTTGTCTTTCTAAGACTAGTAGTACTTCTGAAGTATGCACTACCCCAATTTCTGAGTCGATATGGCTTCCCTGATCACTTAAGTTTAGAGAAAGCGTTACTAGGACAGTAGAAGGAAATAATTATATTTTATTTAAATACATAAGAGACTTGAAAAAGAAAGCCTGTCTGTGCCTAGTGATTATAAATAATGTGGAGTTCTCTTTTCTGCTTTCCCTTCTCTCAGGACTGTCTCCTCAGAGTTCTTAGGGGCATGCACTATCTTCCTTTACTTCCTTTTATTGTTGTCTTATGAGGAAGTATTTAGATCGGCTTTTTTCTCCTTTGTACCCTAGTCCTATTTCCTTGTAGATGGCCATTTGTTTAGGAAAAGGACTGAAAAGCCATTTCTTTCCGAAGAGAAAGAATCACCTTCCCTCTGTGGCAAGTTAGTTTTCAGAGGAAAAGAGCCATTTATTGAAAACTTATCTTTTTGGTTCAGAGATAAATGTTAGTTAACACTCAGTAAATGTAGATTAAAATTTTTAAAGTGAATTAAAATCAGTAAAATTATATGTAAGGGCCTGCGATTTTATTTTACCCTTAGAAGCTAATTATTAACTCCTATTATTTCATGGATGCTGGCAGAACACACAAGACTTCTGGATCAGAGACAAAGGACTTTATTACTCACAGCCTGTTTTTCATGGCCCAGCAAGCAGCATAATAAATATAATGTTTATATCAATTTTCCTTGCCCCCAGCGTACTGTGGGAGTGACATGAATGGGCCCAGATGGATGCCTGCGTATGTGTCATAGGAATAAAACACTGAGCCCTTGCTTTTGTAGTAAATGGTAAGCAGGCCTGTTCTTTGTCCTAATGGGAGAAATAATTTCCTTATTGAAAGCTGTTCTCTGCAAACACAGTCCTGAGAAGAGGCCTGAGTAAGAAGTGGTTAGGACCACGGATTCTTGACAGGCCCAGCAAGACATGTAGGATTAAGAGAGACCCATTGGGCCAGGCTTGGTGACTCACATCTGTAATGCCAGCACATAGGGAGGCCAAGGCAGGTGGATCGCTTGTGCCCAGGAATTTGAGACCAGCCTGAGCAACATGGTGAAACCCCGTCTCTACAAAGAATATAAAAATTAGCCAAGCATAGTGGTGTGTGCCTGTAGTACCAGCTGCTAGGGAGGTTGAGGTGGGAGGATCACCTGAGCCCATGAGGTTGAGGCTGCAGTGAGCTATGATGGTGCCACTGCACTCCAGCCTGGATGACAGAGGTATCAGAAAAAAAAAAAGAGAAAAAGATCCATGGAAGAATAGCACTCCCTACACTAAGTATGTAAACAGATAATTGATAGAAATCTTAGAAAAACGTGTTATAAAACATTTGCCCCACAAAAGGTATGGAGTAACATAAAGAAAAGCCATACAGTCACCTCTCAACTTGAGAAATAAGCATTATTCATATAGTTGAAGCTTCCTGTAGACCCATCCTCTCACCCTACAGGTAAACACTTTCCTAAATTTGTCATCATGCCAGTGCATTCCTATGTATCCTTTAATATCATACAATATTGTTATGTATGTTCATGAACTTCTAAAAATGATTTTTACTATTATTTAAAAATTGTTAAAGAACTTTTCATAATATTTTCTTAGTACTTTAGAAAAAAATTGCAAAGATAAACTTTTGCACGTCATGATTTTATGGTCCAAGAAAAAGCAAAAACACTAAAACAGTTTAGTAAAAGGAAAAGATACATACAGTGAAAAAAGTTGGTAAATATATAGATATAAAACTCTAATGTAAACTGTTAGCATCTAATATATGTAAAGGCTAAGTATAATTAAGGTTGGTGGCCAAAATAAAATTCATTACTGGGGTGGAAAATAGTGACTATCAGAGGCAGCAACAATGTATTACAGGAGTGAGATTAATCTGGATTAATTGTCTTACAGGAGAGAGGGTTATGCTATGAGGAACTGGCCTTAAATTGGTCCAGCCAAAAAGATGAGTAGTTAGCCTGCAGGGCAGTTAGCTAAAATATATATAGGCCAGCATTCTGTTGGGTCACCATTTGGATTAGGAAAAATGGCCAACATTAAGCCCCTTACCTTGAAGAGCTTAGTCTAATTGAGCAGGGGTGGTTATATTATGCATTTGAGAATTAGAGAACAGATTCCAGGAGTGGAGAATAGAAGAGTTTAATGTGGCAGGCACGGTGGCTCACACCTGTAATCCCAGCACTTTGGGAGGCTGAGGCTGGTGGATCATTTAAGGTCAAGAGTTCCAGACCAGCCTGGCCAACATGGTGAAACCCCGTCTCTACTAAAAACACACAAAAAAATTAGCTGGGCATGGTGGTGGGTGCCTGTAATCCCAGCTACTTGGGAGGCTGAGACAGGAGAATCGCTTGAATCCTGGAGGCAGAGATTGCAGTGAGCCAAGATTGTGCCACTGCACTCTGTCCTCGGCAACAAGAGTCTATTTTTCATTGCCCAGCAAGCAACATATAAGAAAATAAAAAAAAAAAAGAGTTTAATGTGAGTTGCAGCAGTTAGGGGAAGAAGGCCTCAGGGAGAAATCTCCAGTTCGGTCTTGCATGGCAGATAGTAGTGTGGAGGGAAAGGAAAAGGGAGTGGCTGGCGAGAGCATAGGAGCGAGTCCTGGAGCAGTGAGAAATAGTGAGGACTGGCCTGTGTGAAAATTTTTTATCAAGACCATTTGACCGATGGAATTTCCTGTGGTCTGGATTTTGCTGATTGCACACTTACAGTGTAGCTCAGCAGTTTTCATCTGTCCTCAGTATTTCCTTCAAATTAGCAACTGGACCCAGTGGCTTGATGAGATTCAAGTTCAGTCTCTTTGGAAAGACTATAGGTGACTGGTTGTTCTTTTATCATATCAGTAAAGATATGTGTAGGGGTCTGGGATTTCATTTTACTCTGCTTTAATAAGCTAATAATTAGCTTATTACTGTTTCACATTCTTAACTTCACATAGCTCCCTCTTCTGTTATTTCAAGTAGTGCTAAAAAATATAACAGCTTGCTTCTTGAGATAATAGGTCTGATCCCCTCCCTTACTTTTATCTGGACCATCTCTTTTCTTCATTTCTGTCATCCCTATCTTGCTTTTTTAAAATTCTTTTTTTGTGTGGGGATCCTTTCCTAGGAAGGAGCCTGGGAAGGTTAGTTTCATGAGTTTATCGGGCTAGACTGCTCCAGGTCCTTGGGGTCTCACCAGGGATCCCTTGCAGAGGACAAAAGCCCCTCCCAGTGTCAGTTACTGTTCTCAAATCAGCCCCCATTGCTTTTCACTTAATAGTTGTTGGTTATCTTGGGGTTCCTGTGTTCTCGGTTGTCAGATGCCCTTTTGGTTCCCTCTCCTTTATTCTGGACATCTGGATAGCACTTATGTCTGTGGCTGTTGATGTTTTTTCCCTACCCACTTGTATGTGGGGATTTATGAGGATACTTCATCTTCTGTTATGCTTTAAATGTTTTCCATGGACTTTCCGTGTTGTTACCTAGTTGCTCTGTCTGGTTTTTGCTTGCTTGTTTGTTTTTGATAATGGATCTTGCTCTGTCACCCAGGTTAGAGTGCAGTGGCATGATCATGGCCCACTGCAGCCTCAACCTTGCAGGCTCAAGTGATCCTCCCACCTCAGCCTCCTGAGTAGCTGGGACTACAGGCATGCACTACCATGCCTGACTTATTATTTTTTTTTTTTTTGGTGGAGATGGGAGTCTCACTATGTTGCCCAGGCTTATCTTGATCTCCTAGGCTCAAGTCATCTTCCTGCCTCAGCCTCCCAAAGTGCTGAGATTACAAGCATGAGCCACCACTCCTGACCCTCTGTCTGTTTTTATGTTGAGGTTCAGAAATATCAAAAGACTACATTGCCATTGCGACAGCTATTGCCCCAGAATTCCTCTTGTAGGTTCTTTAGTAGGATGATGATACAATCATAAGTAGAATGATAGGTCTCTCCTAACATTTTACATGGTGTGGAGATGGTGTGGTCTAAATGCATTTGTTCCGGCTGGTTTGAGTGCGGTGGTGGTTACAACTAATTGATCACAAGCAGTTACAGATTTCTGTGTTCCTTCACCCCCGCTGCTTCACTTGACTAGCCTTAAAAAATGTTCTTTATTTTTTCTTTTCTCTGGATTCAGAAGTGTTTTGGCTGTAATATCCAATTAGCAGATTCCCATGGAAATAATAACTTCTTATCATTACTCTTTTCAGGTTTACTAAGAATCTTTCCCCAGACAAAATCAACTTGAGCACCCTGAAAGGGGAGGGTCAGCTGACCAACCTGGAGCTGGATGAAGAGGTTCTACAGAATGTACTGGAGCTGCCCACCTGGTTAGCCATCACTCGGGTCTACTGCAACAGAGCTTCCATCCGGGTGAGAATGAGGGTCAGAATGCTGCTGTTCTCTTCGGCCAGCAGGCCTGCCTTCTGGAGGGGCAGCTACCATAGCCCTAAGACTTTGCTTTCCTCTTTCAGATCCAGTGGACAAAGTTGAAGACGCACCCAATTTGCTTGGTAATGGCCTTACTTGATTGCAAGTAATCAAATGGGGATGGCCAGGGTTGGCTTTTAGAAGAGGGAGGAAATGATATGCTAACCCTTTCAGGAACAGTGAGACAGTGTGACTGTTGCCTGGGTTTATTCTGGAGCTGCTGTGTGGTATAGGATTAGCACTGGGACACAGACCCAGGACTTCTCAGTTGTCTGCCTCCGCCCACTGTGGGTATAGCACTCAACTAGGCTCTGGAGCACAGAGATGAAGGACACAGTCTGTGCTGGCTTTGTGCTGTGTGTGTATTTGTGTCAATGCTTAGCTCTCCTTGACTTTTATTTCAGTGTCTGGATAAGGTAGAGGTAGAGATGAAGACATGTGAGGATCCTCGGCCCCCCAATGGACAGTCTCCTATTGCCCTTGCTTCAGGACAGAGGTTAGTTTCTTTGGGCCCTGTTATTTGCAACGTATTAATTACTCCAGGTTCCCTTTTAGTTAAAAAATAAAAACTTTTTATTATGGAAATTTTCAAACATATACTAAAGTAGAGAAAATGGTATAAGAACTTCTATATACCCAAGATCTAACTTCAGTAATTATCTACACTTTGTCATTCTTATTTTTTTTTTTTCCTGAGAGAGGGTCTTGCTTTGCCACCCAGGCTGGAGTGCAGTGGTGTGATCACAGCTCACCGCAGCCTCCACCTCCTGGGCTCAAGCAGTCCTCCTACCCCAGCCTCCCAAGTAGCTGGGACCAAAGGTGCACATCACCATACCTAGCTAGTTTTTTGTAGAGATGGGATCTCACCATGTTGCCCAAGCTGGTCTTGAACTCCTGGCTTTATGCAATACTCCCACCTCAGCCTCCCTAAAGCCCTGGGATTACAGATGTGAACCATCGTGCCTAGCTTTATCATTCTTTTTTCTTTCTTTATCCTGCCACTTTATGTATGTGTATGTACGTGCGTGTGCACACTGTAGTATTTGAGAGCAAATCTCAGAAACCATATGATTCCACTTGTAAATACTTTTTTTTTTTCCAGATGGGGTCTCACTGTGTCACCCAGCCTGGAGTGCTGTGGTGTGATATTGGCACACTAACCTCTGCCTCCCAGGCTCAAGTGGTTCTCCCAGCTCAGTCTCCCAAGTAGCTGAGACCACAGACATGCACCACCACACCTGGCTAATGTTTTGTAGTTTTGGTAGAGATTATTTCACCATTTTGCCCAGGCTGGTCCTGAACCCACCTGCGAATAATTTCATATCATGTCTTTAACAAACAAGGACTGGAAAAATATATATATTGTTATCACACTAAAAATAATTAAGCCAGGCATGATAGCTCATGCCTGTAATCCCAGCACTTTGGGAGGCCAAGGTGGATCACCTGAGGTCGGGAGTTTGAGACCAGTTTGACCAACACGGCGAAACCCCGTCTCTACTAAAAATACAAAATTAGCTGGGCATGGTGGCACATGCCTGTAATCCTAGCTATTTGGGAGGCTGAGGCAGGAGAATTGCTTGAACCTGGGAGGTGGAGGTTGTGGTGAGCCAAGATAGCACCATTGCACTCCAGCCTGGGCAACAAGAGCGAAGCTCTTCCATAGGAGAAAAAAAAAAAAGAATTAACAAGAATTCCTTAATATCATCTAATACCTATTTCATAATAAATTTTCCTAGATTATCTCATATATATAGAGATATATGTATCTCTATCTATACTTTTTTTCCTGTTTTTGTTTTTGTAGTTGTTTTTTGTTTTTTGAGACAGGTTCTTGCTCTGTCACTCAGGCTGGAGTGCAGTGGCATGAACTTGGCTCACTGCAACCTTCACTTCCTGGGTTCAGGTGATTCTCTGCCTCCTGAGTAGCTGGAATTACAGGCGCCTGACACCACGCCTGGCTAATTTTTGTATTTTTAGTAGAGATGGGATTTTGCCATGTTGGCCAGGCTTTTTTAACTCCTGATCTCAGGTGATCCACCTGCCTTGGCCTTCCAAAGTGCTGGAATTATAGATGTGAGCCACTGTGACTGGCCCAAATATATATATTTTTTACAGAACAATATGGATCGAAAGAAGCCCATACTTTATATTTGGGTGATAAGCCTTTTGAAGCTCTTTAATTATATTCCACCACACACACATTTTAAAATATACCATTTATTCTTTGTAGGAATTAAATAATCTTTTTTCTTTTTTTTTTTTTTTTTTTTCCTGAGACAGAGTCTCCCTCTGTTGCCCAGGCTGGAGTGCAGTGGCACAATCTCAGTTGACTGCAGCCTCTGCCTCCTGGGTTCAAGCAATTCTCGCCCCTCAGCCTCCTGACTAGCTGGGATTACAGGTGCCTGCCACCATGCCAGGCTAGTTTTTGTATTTTTAGTAGAGACAGGGTTTCACCATATTGGCCAGGCTGGTCTTGAACTCCTGACGTTGTGATTCATCTGTCTTGGCCTCCCAAAGTGCTAGGATTACAGGCCTAAGCCACCGCACCTGGCCGGAATTAGGTAATCTTTTCTAAAGAATTTCCCTTGTTTTGTATTCTGGCTGACTGTATCATCAAGGTATCATTGAAGATGTTTCTCATTTAATCTGGTAGTTAGATTTAAAGGCTTGCCCTGATTCATTTTGTTTGTTTTTGTTTTCTTGGTAAGAATACTTCCAAGGGGGTGAAGGGTCTCTCTCTGGCCTCTTTTTCATTCCTTTTTTTTGAGACAGTTTCACTCTTGTCGCCTAGGCTGGAGTGCAATGGCACAATCTCTGCTCACTGCAATCTTCTGCCTGTTAGATTCAAGCAATTCTCCTGCCTCAGTCACCTGAGTAGCTGGGATTACAGGCATGCACCACCATGCTCGGCTAATTTTTTGTATTTAGTACGGACAGGGTTTCATCATGTTAGTCAGGCTGGTCTCAAACTCCTGACCTCAGGTGATCAATCTGCCTCAGCCTCCCAAAGTGCTGGAATTATAGGCGTGACCCACCTTGCCCAGTCTCTGGTCTCTTTTCTAAAGACATTAATGCCATTCATGAGGACTTTTCCCTCATGAGTTAAACATCTTCCAGAGGCTTCATCTCTAAAACTGTCACGTTGGGTTATTAGGTTTCAACATATGATGAATTTTGGGGAAACATAAGCATTCAGACCATAGGACTGAGTAACATTCCAGTGTATGGATATACCACGATTTGTTTATCCATTCATTTGTTGATGGTAATTTTATTTTCTTTGTTTGACTGTTATGAATAATGCTGCTGTAAACATTTGCATACAAGTTTTTGTGTGGTTATGTGTGCTTTTCTTTCTCTTGGGTAAATACCTAGGTATGGTATTCAGGGGAGGATTTTACTTTTTGAGAAACTGTCAGACTTTACTTAGTGGTTTACCGATTTATATTCTTTTTACATTCTGCATTCTTTTTTTGGGGGGGGACAGAGTCTTACTCTATTGCCCAGGCTAGAGTGCAACGGCATGATCTCGGTTCACCGCAACCTCCGCCTCCTGGGTTCAAGTGATTCTCCTGCCTCAGCCTCCTGAGTAGCTGGGATCATGCACACCCCCACACCTGGCTAATTTTTGTATTTTTAGTAGAGACAGGGTTTCACCATGTTACCCAGGCTGGTCTCAAACTCCTGCACTCAAGTGATCTTTCCGTCTTGGCCTCCCAAAGTGTTAGGATTACAGATGTGAGCCACTGCGCCTGGCCTTATATCCTACATTTACTCTTTATATGTCTTTTTGTATGTCATATCTTTGCAGTCATTATTCTTCTTAATGTTCGAATCTCCACATCTTTGGCTACTTAGAGCATTTCTAAGTGAGCTCCTGTGTCCTTTTGACAAGACACCAGTAATCTTTGTGCTTTTAGATAGAATAAGATGTTTGAGGATTCCTTTATACAACTTTACCCTAGACCTAAAATCAGACGTCTCTTCAAGAAGCCCTGATTTCCTTTAGTGAGAAATGCTGTTTACAGACTTGTCTGCAAAGCTGTGTTCATTGAGTTTTCATTGCATTAAGGCCTTTTCAGTGTCCAATGCTAGGAAAAAAGGTATTTTTAAGAAAGAAAAATGAATAATGACAATATCCTGATATTTCTCGATTCAAATTAAAGAAGAGGATTTTGAGTTAGCTTTCTGAATTTAATAGTGGTTTTGAAATTCATACACTGAATCATGGCTCCTAACAACAGTAACATAAATGGTTTACTTTTTCAAGTTTCAAAAAAATAACAAAACCATTATAACTATCAATAACACTACTACTGAATGCAGTAGGGGTGTGTATGTGTTTTAGATGGTGTCTTGTTCTGTCGCCCAGGCTGTAGTGCAGTGGCACAATCTTTGCTCACTGCAACCTCTGACTCCCTGGTTCAAGCTATTCTCCTGCAGCCTCCCAAGTAGCTGGAATTACCGGCATGTGCCACCATGCCCAGCTAATTTTTGTATTTTTAGTACAGATGGGATTTCACCATATTGGACAGGCTGGTCTCAATCTCCTGACCTCATGATCCACCCGCCTTGGCCTCCCAAAGTGCTGGGATTACAGGCGTGATCCACCACGCCCACTCATATGTGTGTTTTAATCTTGTGAAATACCCCATTAGGGATGTATGGTCAAAATGCTGTTTTTTATTTTATTTTTTTTAAGATGAAGTTTTCCACTTTTGTTGTCCAGGTTGGAATGCAGTGGTGTGATCTAGGCTCACTGAAACCTCCGCCTCCTGAGTTCAAGCGATTCTCCTACCTCAGCCTCCCAAGTAACTGAGACTACAGACGTGTGCCACCACACCCAGCTAACTTTTGTATTTTTAGTAGAAACGGAGTTTCACCATGTTGGCCAGGATGGTCTTGATCTCCTGACTTCTTGATCTGTCCGCCTTGGCCTCCCAAAGTGCTGGGATTATAGGTGTGAGCCACCACGCCCTGCTGTCCCATCCTTTTTCAATACAAGATGTAGCATGTCATAAATACTTATCCCACATTGTGAAAGAGATATTTTTTCATTTAAAAATATATCCTGGTGATCACTCCATAGAAGGGTAGAGATGTCCTGTATTCCTTTTTGTACCTGTAGAATGTGCTTCTCTTTTGGAGGCAACATAGTTTATTTAGCCTGTTCTTTATTGATGGATATTTGGATTATTTCCAGGTTTTTTGCTGTTACACACGGTTCGGCAATAAATGACCTTGTTCATAAGTCACTTAGTATTTTGCCAGTGTAATTTTTTTTCTTATTTTTTCTTTTCTTACAAGAAAACCAAAGAAGCTGGCCTGGCATGGTGGCTCATGACTCTAATCCCAGCACTTTGAGAGGCCAAGGAGGGTGGATCACCTGAGATCAGGAGCTTGAAACCAGCCTGGCCAACATGATGAAACTCTGTCTCTACTAAAAATACAAAATTAGCTGGGCACAGGGGCGCATGCCTGTAATCCCAGCTA